TGTCAAGGGCATATGGGTCACCCTCAGGGACTAACAGCATGGAGCAGAGATGAGGCGCGGACTCGGACAGGAAAGCAAGCTCGTACTGTCAATCCTCTAGGACGTCACTGCCAAGGGCAGGAGCACCCCCGACGGATAGAGGACGGACAAGGTCAGAGACCAGAGTGGTGGCGTAGTGAAGGCGGTGGTAGAGGCGAAGTCAGTGACTACAGCGACAAGCGCGGACAGACTCGAGACAGGAACAGATGGGTTGGTAACGAGAGAGGCAAGGACCGGAGGAAGAAGAGGACGAGCAACACGAATATAGTCGGACAGAGGAGACGAAGCGACGACAAGCGACGATGGAGGAGGCGATGGGAGGAGGGGAAGGTGAGACGCATGGAAACGAAGCAACATAGGGTGAGAGCACGGAACAGGGAAACAGGACGAGCACGGGAGGGACGACGAGACCAGACGTGAGACGATGGCGCGAGGAGGTGCGTGGCAAAGTCGGCGACAGTGGGGAAGGACGCAAGATCAGGGAATAGCATGGGAAGGATCAGACGAGTAGCAGAGGCAATGGTAGGATAGAATAGCGTGCAATGACAGCATCTAAGAAAGCCTGGGCGTTCGCGACAGTGGTAAAGCGAGGGCGCTCAGATAGCAGGAGCACATGGCTAATAGCAAGCTGTGCTACTGCGTCGCGCGAGTCTCAGATGGCACGAGCAAGCACAGCAGCAGAAAATGCCTCATGCTCAGCAGTGGTGGAGCCATCAAGGAGGGCAACAAGTGCACAGGGGCGGGGAAGCAGGCCATCGACATGAATAGCCAAGAAGTGACCGTACTGACGCTGACCTATAAGGTGACGCCGAAGGTCGTCCAGCCACGCCTCAAAGTCAAGCGCCCGATCCTCTACATCCAGTCGGAGATGTGAACCTGCCATCGCCGCTGCCGCAGCTGCTGACGGCCGCTGACAGGGTGAGGAGGACAGGCGGAGGAAGCGGTGGAGAGTGGTGGAGTATGGTGGAGAGTGGTGGAGTGCGGTGAAGAGCGGTGGAGTGCGGTGGAGTGCGGTGGAGAGTGGTGGAGTGCGGTGTAGTGCGGTGGAGTGCGGTGTAGTACGGTGAGTGCGGTGAAGAGCGGTGGAGACAGCCGGCAGGGGAGCCGGCGCTGAAGGGAGCCAGAATCAGTGGGTCGACGCTCCGACTCAACGGCACGGCGGCTGACCGCTATAGCGGGGGCCGGCTACGCTGGAGCCGGCGGGCTAGCCGGCCGGCTGGCGAGGGCCGACGGGGCGCACAGGGCCGACGGGGCGCTTACGAGGCCGGTAGGGCGCTAACGGGGCCGGCAGGGCGCTAATAGGCCGACGGGGCGAGTAGGGCCAGGGGGGCGCACAGGACCGACGGGGCGCTAATGGGGCCGGGAGGGCGCGAACGGGCCGGCAGGGCACTAACGGGCCGGTGGGGCGAGTAGGGCCTAAGGGGCGTACGAGGCCGACGAGGCGCGAACGGGGCCGTCAGGGCACTCACGGGCCGGCAGGGCGCTATCGGGCCGGCGGGGCGAGCAGGGCTAATAGGGCGCACGGGGCCGACGGGGTGCTAACGGAGCCGGTAGGGCGCTAACGGGCCGGCGGGGCTAGCAGGGTCAGAGGGGCGCACGGGGTTTACGGGGCGCTAACGGGGCCGGGAGGGCGCTAACGGGCCGACGGGGCGAGTGGGGGCCAGAGGGGCGCACGGGGCGCTAACGGGGCCAACGGGGCGTACGGGGCTAGCGGGCGTGAATGGGGCCGGCAGGGCGTTAACAGGCCGGCGGGGCGCTAAGTGGCCAGAGGGCGCTAACGGGGCCGGCAGGGTGCTAACGGGCCAGAGGGGGCGCAGCCACAAAGTCACCAGTCCTAACTACTTGGACAAAATAGGATGTCATCAGGAGGGTTAGGCTCCATAGAGATAGAGAAAGGATCGACAGGGTTATCCCAGTGTCACGATAGGCGCACGGGGCCGACGAGGCGCTAACGGGGCCGGAAGGGTGCTAACGGGCTGGTGGGGCGCACAGGTGCCAACGGGGCGCTAAGGGGCAGCTAGGGACGGACGCCTAGGGCTAGGGCAAGAGCGGAAGCGCGGGTGGGCGGGGAGGACCTATCCTAGCGTATAATACCACCTCAGAGTAGAAAAAGTGACTAAAATGAGGCAAACATGTTGATTTTGTTCCAGGGGTTGTACCTTTTAAAAGCATGCACCTATCTAGCTTATTATAATATATACAAATATGTTTGATATTACGCCCATACAATTTATAGAATGGCAGATTCCTATATAGAACAATACAGAAAAAAAAAACGTGTGTAACCAAAAGTAATACAAATACTGGCACCACACAGTACTAAACGTTTCTTCTGATCCAAGTTTAATCTGATTCAAATTAGGGGAGTGGAAGATTCCAGCGTTTTCAAATTTTGGTCATTCCAGCGTTTCTTTATAATTCTTAAAGTGAGCTTATAGATAGTTTCTATGCAGAAATTTTCAAGCATTATATTGGTTTGGGATTTGAATGGTTAAAATCTAATACGATTCTATGCAATGCTATCCCAACAATGTAAATCCGTTTTAGATAAGACATACTAATAACGGTGCACGTATCTAATGAACCATACAGACGATGCCCAACCTTATCGCAGCTCAACCTAGTGCCCAATCATAATCATTTTTCAAAACCCCCAATATACGGGCAATGGGAGATCCGTTTGAGTCACTCATAATTGCGTCTGCAACCAACAAATAGCAAGGGACAGGTCGTTGCCGACGAGGTTTCGTCGCAACGGAATTGTGCAGTGCTGTTGCCTGATCACTTTACAAGAGTCACACACTAGCAACAAACATCGCGACGCAAGCCCCCCCCCCCGCCCCCCCTACAAATAGTCACCCATTTCGCCGTCTGCTCGTGCGAAAGCCTCATTTTCCCGTGGCGAGGGTATGCGAAATACTTGAGAGATTGAATCCCCAACACCCTTAAATCTTGTGCGACTCTGACGAGCTTCGTTTGTACCTCAAGGAACCATTTTTTCCACCGGCCCGAACAATGCGCTTGTAGTCAACAGCTAGAAGTCGACAAGCCCCTGTATGGGCAGATGAGTGCATGCCTATACAATGCCATACAGCCGCACATGCGCAAAATGACGTAGGTAGAATTTGGCTGTACACTTAATCCCGCGCTATTTTCTCATTCCGCCATAGCTTCTCGATTGTGCAACTAGGCCTTGTCGTATGTGTCATTGTAGCTCGTCGTCTGCGCAAGTGTAGCACGGCTTGAGAAGTTGCTGGGTGAGATAATGGCGCGGGTTTGGTGTATCGTTGACTTCTGCCAACGGCTGAGGTGAGTGAGCCTAGACCATTTGCTCATTATGTTTTCCATGCGTACACGTGAGGAAGTAGAAAGCTCGCAAAACGTTTTTCGTCCGGAACCAAGATAACGTCGAATGCTTCACATTTTCCAGATCCACTATACTTTTACTTTGTCAAGTGTTTGCTGGTAGTTTTGGGTATTTGGGCAGCTAAATTGAATTATGGGCTTGGTCCTATCCAGTGCTAATTTTTCGTTTTCAAGACTCAGCGGTCTCAGGATTCGCGTCACTAAAGATCTTGAAAATTCAGCATTCCCTGGAAAATCTCTCTTATTTCAGGATTTCTTTGAAGTTTCAATATGAAATCCAGAGTATTGTGTTTGGACTCCCTTCAGAACAGTGGGACCTGTGGGCACTTGAAGTACAAGCAGGAAGGACATCGATGGAAGAATTGATGAAGAATACAGAAACACATTTGCTGCTGCTGTCCCTCACCACCACACCAAGTTCGACACATTCCTTAAGCACGACAGAAATGCATACAACTTTGAGGGACAGTGCGCAACCTGGCTAAGGTGATATTAAGGGGTTGTGATAAGCCTGACAGCCCTTCACTTCTGTAGTTGTGAAAGTTTCCACGGGTTCACCTTCAGATTGCGTGGAAAATTGGTCGGGGTTGCGAAGGAACGGGGGGGGGGGGGGGGGGGGAGTGGTGGGTTGCAATTCCAGCACGGGTGATTTTCCATGCCAGTCGGATGGTCCTGATAATTTTTCGCGAAATCCGGATTGGTCAGGGTTTTCCTCGAAAACTTCAAGAATCAGTCAGGAGGTTTGGAGATACGAAACCCTCAAAATCAGGATTTCAGCGGAAACGACCTTGAATGTACCTGACATTCCGGATGTTTACCCTTGAACCGAGAGCCCTGGTCCTATCACCTCAGGCATGCTGTAACGCACGGGTGACAAGTGCCACTGCCAACTTGGCGGAATCCAGCTTCCTCGAATCTGGGGGTCCCAACCTATGCCTCTCGTGCGGACAGATGTTAGACGAACGCTGAATTCGGCAAGCGAAATCGTCGGCTGAAAAATCTTTCCGTCGTTGATGAGGAATGGCAGGTGCGATGTTGGGTTGCTATATAACAGTATTTAGCTAAAGCGTAACGTAAAATAGGCAGTGTGGCTTAATAATACCCAACAAAGGCATTCTTTCCCTTTCACCACATCCATGTTCTCTGCCCGATTAGCGACAACAACGTCATTTGCAGTCGATGGAGTGCGCCGTGGAGGAATCATAGCCCCTCCGTTCATGGTCCTACCGTTATCCAATCAGTAGCTCTCCCGCTATGCTGGCCCGCAGCAGTTTCAATTCCTGCCTTCCATCATCCAGACACTGTACAGTCGCCTCAGGAAGGAGTCACGTCACGACTCTAGGGCGCGCTCCGCGCTCTCGGGGCATCCCCGAAGTGGGCTTCCGGGCATGAAATTTGGGACATCCGGTCCTTATAACTGATGCCCAGAGTTCTCCCTCGAGGCTTGCTCCGAGCGCGGAACGCGCCCTCATTTGCTTGACCAATGGCCAGCCCATCCAAGGCGAATTGGCATTCTTTCTCTCATTCGTTCCCCCACACCCGCCCCCTAGTCCCCCATCGACCACCGTGACTTCAGCTGTGCGATTTCCTACCTCGTTGGTCCGCGTGCTGCCAGCGATGGTTTCCACAATCATATAGGATCTCATTGCACACAACTGTGTGCGTCTACCGTCACATGTTTTTCCAAGCTCGCACTTCAATTCAAAACCCCATCTTTCCGTCCAAGACCGTCTTGTTTGCTTCAAGTTGACCCTACTACTGACACATACGCGTTCCTAGTAATAGGAGCATGGACCCCGCCGATCTTCATTCTCGGCATTTCCGGCAAGCCGTCGCCGCGCTTTTCGACGGCTACTACCGCCTCCGAGGCGGCAATCTCGCGTCGTACCCTTCGTTGCAACTCCTCCGACTAGCCGCAGCGGCGGCGGCGGCGGGTAACCTCGACGCTGAGGCGCTAAGGCGCCTCGATTCGCAATTTCGTACGGAGTCACTTCTGCCGGCAGGCTTTCCTGGTTTTCCACGCCTTGAAATTGCCGGTGATGCCGGTACTAGCGGTAAAGGTATCTCCGGAAGCTGTCAACAAACGGCGGCATTTTGGACGGGAGGAGCTGACGTAAACGGACTCCGTTTAGGATCCGGCGGCACCGCCGCGGCGGCGCCATCACGAGGGCCGACTTGGCCGGAGGAAGGACGACCCGTAGCGGAATGGGAGCCGTCCGATGAAGATCTTGATATCTGCGAGGATCTGGACCGAGCGTGGGGCGATGCGGCAGCGCCTGTGACTGGGGAACTCTTTCCTGGAAGTTATGAAGATTTGATTGACGTCAGATTGGATTTGAATCGGGAGAATCCGACTCTGAGCCAGAAACGGCAGGAGCACCGCCGGCGTGTTGTCTGCAGCAGCAATGAAGGGCAGGAGGGATGTCTCCGTGACACAGCTTGTAGCGAACTGCGGATTGCCAGTAACGAGGATTGTGGATCAAGGAATCACTCACCCAGGAGAAAACGGTGCAGTTCAGCACCCCCACGCCTAGCCGAGTGTCAGCCCGCTCTACTCCACATACTCGATACAAAGTTAGACACCTCTCAGCTGCCGATTTTCCCTGTGCCACAATCGGATCAACAGCTACATGATCTGCTCCAAGGCCTTATAAAGAGACTGCACCCTACCACTCCACTGGCTACTGCTGCTCCCCCTGCTCCTGTGCCCACAGCTGACTCAGCATCGGATGGTATTGCTGAAATGGCAGCTTTCAATGCTGACGTGGACGCTGCTGCTGCTGCCATGTCAGCCGATGAGCTGGAGCAGATGGACATGCGAATAATCATGGAAGTGGATGACTGGTGGGTGAGAGAAAATGCAGCGGATGACTGAAGCGATACAATGGAAAAAATGCAAGGGATTGCTGGGTGAGAGAAAATGCAATGGAAAAGGTGACACATTCCAGATTCTTACATGGTACGGTAGTAGTGTCAACTTAAATATATTATAAACCGTAATCCCCCGTATATAACACCCGTCGAAATAGTCACTCCGCGGGTGGTTTATGCGGGGGGGAGCTTATGATAGGGTGAATTTAGGAGAGCACCCGCTTTCGGGGGTTGCATTTGTCAAACATGTGTATTTGTCATGTTTGTATAGACTGTATAGGGTCGCCTCTTAGAGAGTACAACACTTCGGTATATCTTTGTGTACTCTCACTCTATCTATCATTCAATTTTCAATTCTGATATGGTATCACACGTAGGTAGGATCCCCCCCCCACCTATCGCTTCCGCTCACCCCTCTAGCCCCTAGCCCAGTCGCGACCCCCCCTAGCCCCGTCGCGCCCTCACTGGGCCCTGTCGCGCCCCTCCCTGACCCCCTGGCGCCCCTCCTGGGCTTCATAGCGCCCCTCCTGGGCCCCGTAGCGCCCCTCCCAGGCCCCGTCGCGCCCCTCCCAGGCCCCGTCGCGCCCCTCCCAAGCCCCCTAGCGCCCCTCCTGGGCCCCGTCGCGCTCCTCCCAGGCCCCGTAGCGCCCCTCCTGGGCCCCGTAGCGCCTCTCCTGGGCCTCGTCGCGCTCCTCCCAGGCCCCGTCGCACCCCTCCCAGGCTCCGTAGCGCCCCTACTGGGCCCCGTCGCGCCCCTCCTGGGCCCCGTAGCGCCCCTCCTGGGCCCCGTCGCGCCCTCCCTGGGCCCTGTAGCGCCCCTCCTGGGCCCCGTCGCGCCCCTCCCAGGCCCCGTCGCGCCCCTCCTAGGCCCCTTAGCGCCCCTCCTGGGCCTCGTCGCGCCCCTCCTGGGCTTCGTAGCGCCCCTCCTGGGCCCCGTTGCGCCCCTCCTGGGCCCCTGTAGCGCCTCTCCTGGGCCCCCCGTCGTGCCCCTCCTGGGCCCCGTAGCGCCCCTCCTGGGCCGCGTCGTACCCCCCCCGGTCCCGTCGCCCCTGCCCGACCCCGTCGCAGCCGCTCGGCCCCGTCGCGCCCGCCCGGCGCCGTCGCACCCGCCCGGCCCCGTCGCGCCCGCTCGGCCCCGTCGCAGCCGCCTGGCCCCGTCGCACCCTGCCCGGCCCCGTCGCAGCCGCCCGTCCCCGTCGCACCCGCCCGGCCCCGTCGCACCCTGCCCGGCCCCGTCGCAGCCGCCCGGCCCCGTCGCACCCGCCCGGCCACCATCCCGCTCGCCCGGCCCCGTCGCACCGGCCCGGCCCTGCCGCACCCGCCCGGCCCCGTCACCCCAGCCCGGCCCCGTCGCGCCCGCTCGGCCCCGTCGCCCCGTCCCGGCCCTGTCGCACCAGCCCGGCCCCGTCGCGCCCGCCCAGCCCCGTCGGGCCAGCTCCAGCCCCGTCCTCCTCACTGGTACGGTTCCCCCCACCCCGCCCTGCTCCGTGCCGCCTCGCATCACACTGTACTGCCTGGCACCGCACTACACCGTACTGCACCGCACTGTACCGCACTGCACCGCACTGTACCGCACTGCACCGCACTGTACCGCACTGCACCGCACCCCACCTAGCTGCACTGCCCTGCACCGCACTGGACTGTTCCTGATGGCGGCGGAGCTTCGCTTCGACGCTGAAGGTCAGCCCCTAGAGTTCGAGGCGTGGCTTGCCGACCTCCGCCGCCAACTCACTGGCCAGCGGCAGGATGGTGAACCGCTTTCCGCACACCTTGACGGTACGCTCCCCTGCCCAGACCCCCCTGCTATTCTGCCCGCTGACCCCACACCCACTGAGCGTGAGTCTACTGCTGCCACTGCCCGTGCGCGCTCTGTCTGGCTTTCTCGCGATGCTGTCGCCCAGCTTGCCATTAGCAACGCCCTCCCCCCATCCGAGCGTCCTCGCTTTAGGTCCCTCACTACTGCTCAGGCATACTTAGATGCTGTCATCAAGCGCTATTCCACCCCTCCGGCTGCCTCGGTGGGTCGCCTGATCCTCCCGATGCTCTTTCCTGACCTTGCATCTTTCCCCACTGTCTCTGACCTCGCTACCCACCTGCGCTCGATAGAGGAGACCTGGCGCGCTGCCTGCACTGACGCACAGCTTAGAGCCCACCAGCCGCCCATTACCTCTACCCTCTACCTGCTTGCTACCCGCCTCCCTGACCGCCTTGCTGTCGCCCGCGACCATTTCTTTAGCATTCACCCCGCCGATCTCACCCTCACTGACTTTGTAGACACCCTGACTTTGATAGAGACCCGTCACCGCTCCATCGCCCAGGCGAGCGGTGTCGTGCCGGTCCCTATCCTTCAGGGTTGTGCCCCCGCCCAGTGTACCTTCTCCGACGGCTCTGTCGCAGTGGCTGAGACCGCTGCTGCAGCGCAGTCTCGTTCGGGGAAGGGCCGCCGCCCCAAGGTTGGGCGCGGCGGAGGCGGGGGTGCGGGAGGGGGTAGTGGTGGGGTCGGGTCGTCTGGTGCTGGAGCGGATGAGGGGACCCTGCCCAGTCCGGCTGAGCTGCCGCCCCTGCAGTTGCAACAGCCGCAGCAGCCGCCGCAGTCGCAGCCTTCGCCGCAGCCGCAGCAGCCGTCGCAGACGCGGCAACCGAGTGTCCTCCCGCCCGGGTGGCCTGGCGCTGGCGGTGGCCGGGCGCGTGGTGGTGTGTCAAGTGGTAGCTCTGGTGGCGGGCGGTGTCAGTACCAGATCCAGACCGGTCCTCGCCGCGGCTTCGTTTGCGGTAAGATCGGTCACTCCACTCCCCGCTGTTTTCGTCGCCTGGACGACCTCTTTCGTCAGCGCTTCGGCCCGTCGCCAGACCTCCCGGACTGGCACAGTTTGCTTAGTCGTAAGATTCAGATCTTTGATATGGACATGGATGCCATTGTTTCCGCTCTGCATGTGATGTATGCTGATGACTCTAGTGTGCTTCCAGCTTATTACTCACTGTTGCCTAGTGTAGGTGTGCCTAGAGTAGCCTCCCCTGCTGCGTCAGGCGTAGGATCCTCTGCTTTGTGTAGTCTTGGTGCTTCCGCCGTCGTTCCATCGCCAGACGCCTCTGCTTCGCTTTCCTTCACCTTGGACTCTGGCGCCTCTCGGTGTTTCTTCCGCGACTCCACCACCCTGACGCCGCTTCCTGTTCCTGCTCCCGTTTCTCTTGCTGACCCCTCCGGCGGTCCGGTAGTCGCCCGCAGTTCCACCACCCTTCCCTGCCCGGCGGTTCCTTCGGGCTCTCTTACAGGTCTGCATATCCCCTCGTTCTCCAGGAACCTAGTTGGTGTCGGCTGCCTCCAGGACCTTGGCGTCACCACTACGTTCCCTGGTCACGAGCGGTATGCTGTCTGTACCGAGGCCGCCACCAGTGCCCCCCTGTCCACGTTCCCCCGGGACCCGGTGTCTGGCCTGTTCACTCTGGACACCGTGACCCCCCCGGCTGGGGCGCTCCCTCAGGTGGCTGCGTCTACTCAGGTTGCTGCTGCCTGCTCCTGTCGGTCCCTCACTCACCCGACGCTCCTCTGACACCACTGCCTAGGTCACCCTGCGCTCCCGCGTCTGCGTCACATGTCCCAGCACGGTCTTGTCCTTGGTCTCCCAGGTTCTCTCCCCGCGTTTCCCTCCTCCCCAGCCCCCCCTTGCACGCCTTGTGTCGAGGGTCGGCTTCGCCGTGCCCCTCACTCCTCCTCGTTTCCCCCTACCTCCGCTCTGCTGCAGACCCTGCACCTGGACGTCTGGGGCCCCGCCCCTGTCCCTGGGCCGCGTCGAGAGCGCTACTTCCTTGTGCTCGTCGACGACTTCACTCGTTACACCACAGTCTTTCCCCTGGAGCGCAAGGCCGACGTGCCTGGCGCTCTCATCCCCTGGCTTGTCTCTGCGCGTGTCCACCGCGGTCTCCCTGTCCTGCGTCTTCACTCAAACCGTGGTGGCGAGTTTGCCTCAGGTGTCCTTGGTCGCTTCTGTCGTGCGGAGGGCATCACCCAGACGTTCACCCTACCGGACTCCCCACAGCAGAATGGGGTCGCTGAGCGACGCATCGGTTTGGTCATGGAGGTGGCTCGCACCTCCATGATCCATGCCGGTGCACCCCATTTTCTGTGGCCGTTCGCTGTGCGCTACGCTTCTCACCAGCTTAACTTGTGGCCGCACCCTCAGCAGTCGCAGGTTTCGCCAACCCGTCTTTGGACTGGGTCTCCTGGTGACGCGTCTGCGTTCCACGTCTGGGGCTGCCTTGCTCACGTCCGTGCCTCCGGCACGGACAAGCTCACTGCCCGCACCCTTCCCTGCGTCTTCCTCGGTTTTCCCCTTGACGCGTCCGACTGGCACTTTTACCACCCGCCGTCTCACCGCTTCTTTCACTCTCGTGACGTCACCTTTGAGGAGTCCGTCTCCTACTACTGTCGCTTCCCCCACCGTGGTCCCCTGCTTACCCCCCCCCTGTTCCTGGTCACTCCTTCCCCGGTAGTCCCTGCCCCTCCTCCTCCTCCTCCCCGTCCCGCCCCCTCTGGTGTGTCCCACGTCACCCCCCTTCCGTCGGTGGACCCGGCTGGGGAGTCTTCTGACTCTGGTGGCCCTCCTGTGCAGTCCTCGCCGGCCGCCCCTCCGCTGGCGTCCCCTTCCCAGTCCCCTCCTCCACCGCCTCTGCCGTCGCTGCAGCCGTCGTTGTCGCTGCCGCCGCCACCACCGCCGCCGCCGTCGCAGCACCCGTTCGCTGACTCTGGGGGTGCACGTCCCGGTCGCCCTGGGGGTGGTCCCTCTAGGGGTGCGGGTGTGGAGAGTGCTGGTGGTAGCCGAGGAGCAGCTTGCGGTCCAGGTATCGCCGTTGTGCTGCCGCAGCAGCAGTCCTTGCCGGTGTCCGCCCTTCGCCTGCTCGGCCTTCCGTTCCCCGACCCTGCGTCGGTTCCTCCCCCACCGTCTCCTCCTCTTCCTGTCTACGGCCCTGTTTTTCCTCCGCCGGACTCGTCCCCGGCTCGTCTCCCCCCTCGTTCCCCTCCTGTGTCCTCTCCCCTGTCTCCTAACCCGACTCCTCCGTCGCACGTCTGGTCTCACCGCCCCTCCCGTGCTCATCCTGCCTCCCCTGTCTTGCGCTCCCACCCTATGTTGCTTCGTTCCCACGCGTCTCGCCCTCCCCTTCTGCCGTCGCCTCCTCCGTCCTCCCTTGTTGTTGCACCCCCCCCGCTGTCTGACTACCTTCGTGCCGCTCGTCCTCTTGTTCCTCGGGTCCTTGCCTCTCTCGTTGCCGACCCGTCTGTTCCGGTCCCGTGCCTTGACACTCTTGTCGCT